CTCTTGTTGCCCAGGCTGGAGTGCAATGGCACAATCTCAGCTCACTGCAACCCCACCTCCCGGGTTCAAGTGATTCCTTACCTCAGCCTCCCGAGTAGCTACGATTACAGGTGTCCACCACCAAGCCTGGCTAATTTTTTGTATTTTTAGTAGACATGGGATTTCACCATGTTGGCCAGGCTGGTCTTGAACTCCTGACCTCAGGTGATCGGCCCATCTCAGCTTCCCAAAGTGCTGAGATTACAGGTATGAGCCACTGCACCTGGCCCAGAATAAAGAACCTTTAGAAGAGAAACCAATTTTTTAAAATGGCAAAATATTTGAACAGACACTTCACAACAGAAAACATATGAACAGCCAATAAGCACAAGAAAGAGGCTCAATGTTATTAATCAGAGAAATGAAAAGTTAAGACCACAATGAGATACCATCACACACCCATTAGATTTGTAAAAGTAAGAAGATCGGCCCTGCCATGTGTTGGCAAGGCTGTGGACCAACTAGAACCCTCCTACGCTGTTTTTAAGAATGTAAAACGGTACAGCCAGTTTGGAAAACAGTTTAGCAGTTTCTTATACAATTAAATATACACTTATCTTATGAATCAATCATTCTACATCTAGGTATTTAACCACGTATGTCACCCAAATACCTGTACACAAATACTCATAGCCCCTTGGTTATAGCCAAAAACTTGAAACAACGTAACTACCCATCAACAGGTGATGAGATAAACAAATAGTAGTACATCCATACAATGGAATACTAGTTAGCAATAAAAAGGATCTAACTATTGATACAGGTAACAACATGGAGGAATTTTTAAATAATTATGCTGAGTGAAAGTAGCCAGGCAAAAATGTAAACATATTGTGATTCCATTAATGTAAGATCTTAGAAAATGTAAATTACTCTATAGTGACAGAAAGCAGACTGTGGCTACCCAGGGATAGGAGTGGAGAGCAGAATAACTTACAAAGTGGTACTAGGAATCTTTTGGAGGTAATGGAAATATTCATTATCTTGATTGTTTCACACATGTATGCGTATATGTAAACTAATCGAATTATACTCTTTCAATGTGTAGAGGTACTGTACTTCAATTATACCTTGGTAAAGCTGTGAGGAAAACACATTTTTTATTTCAGCACACAGGATTCCTACGGTCTGAACTTAATCTCTACCTCTTCAGAGACTGCCTTGGTGATTTGAGGTTTTTGTTCTGTTTTTAAAGAGACAGGGTATTTCTCTATCATCCAGGCTGGTCTCAAACAATCCTCCCACCTCAGCCTCCTAAGTAACTGGGATTACAGAAGCATGCCACAATGCCTGGTGTAAAAACCAGTAATTTGTTATTCTTCATCTAGCAATACTGAGAAGGGGCCAATCTAAACCGCAGCTGAAGAGGAAAGTGAGAGGGACAATTTAAAACTACTTTCAGAGGCCGGGCATAGTGGCTCACACCTGTAATACCAGCACTTTGGGAGGCCAAGGCGGGTGGATCACGATGTCACGAGATCGACACCATCCTGACAAACACGGTGAAACCCTATCTCTACTAAAAATACAAAAAAATAAAATTAGCCAGGCGTAGTGACAGGCGCCTATAGTCCCAGGTACTCGGGAGGCTGAGGCAGGAGAATGGCATGAACCCAGGAGGCAGAGCTTGCAGTGAGCCGAGATTGCACCACTGCACTCCAGCCTGGGCGACAGAGCAAGATTCCATCTCAAAAATAAATAAATAAAATAATAAAAATAAAAATAAAAAAACTACATTCAGGGCCAGTATATGTAAAATGTGTCACTGAACAAGTAAAGTACAGCTAACCTCCTAAATCAGTTGAAACAAAAAATCTGTGTTTTCTCCTCCATGAATAATTGAAAGAGAATACTACTTACTCAAGGATATTTGCATACAGGCTAGACTTAGGGAAAACAATGGGGTTCTCCCATACTCAATACATTAAAAGTAAATAAAGTTACTTTTAAAAGAGAAAACACGGTCGGGCACGTTCGCTCATGCCTGTAATCCCAGCACTTTGGGAGGCCGAGGCAGGCAGATTACCTGAGGTCGGGAGTAGGACACCAGCCTGACCAACATGGAGAAACCCTGTCTCTACTAAAACAAAATTAGCCAGGTGTAGTGGTGCATGCCTGTAATCCCAGCTACTCAGGAGGCTGAGGCAGGAGAATCGCTTGAACCCAGGAGGCGGAGGTTGTGGTGAGCCAAGATAGCGCCATTGCACTCCAGCCTGGGCAACAAGAGTCAAACTCTGTCTCAAAAAAAAAAAAAAAAAAAAACAGAAAAGAAAAAGAAAAAACACTATAAAATCTAAAGTAAAACTGAGCAGAATAGTTCTTCTCAAGCCTTGACAGTGTCCAAGCACATTACAGGGCAGGGAGAAAAAAGGGAAAGCGCTCTCATGCTACCACAAACCTCTGGTTTAGGAAATAGAAGCACCTGGCTCTCAGAAATTGAGTCCAAACATTCAACTCATAAACAGATCCTCCTCCTCTGATGCCATATTCATCAAGGGATTTTCTGTTTTAATTTTTCCATATAGCTTTCTTAGGGACAAAATACGTCAGTCAGGGTGAAGGGCTAACAGTTCTATTTCTCATTCGGAGTCAACCAGTTTCCACAGGATTCACAGAGCAGTCTCCAGTAAGCTTTGGCAGGAGGAATCAACAGAAGGAAGTTTGGTGGGATAGGATGAGATGAGTAGTACAGTAGGCCCCTGAAGCTAGTCCCTGGAACAATGCCAGTTCATGACATATTAAAAATGATCAAGACAACAGAGTATATTTTTCATAAAGCTAAATGTATTTTCTATTATGAGATTATGCCCTTCTCAAATTTTTAATACTAAAATATCCTTCCTTATATGAAATTACAGCAATAGTAGATGATGTTCTTTTTAATGTTCTCACTTGGCAAAATATAAAGTTGGCAAGCCTATGTTCTCAAGTCTCAAAATCTTTTTCAAATTGTAAATCACAAATTCTAGAAACTACTGGGCTGATAGGTAATGGATAATAAGCATTCCACAAAGAAGTAACAGTGACTTCCAGATATCTAGGAGGAGGCCAGGGCACCACTAGCAGAGTTCAAGGCCAAAATGTTTCAATTGTAAGAAAGAACAATAGGAAAATGGATAGCTTTGCATTACAACACACCAACAATTATTTTATTTCATTCATTTACTGAGTGGCTGTTAAATAAAACACAAGTTCATTTCTTAAGTAGAAAACTTTACAGTTGAAAATTCTTTTTCTGCCCTCACCAAAGGAAAATAATCAAGATAAAGGATTAAGAAAAACTGCACAGTTTATTGAACACCTATTTGCCAGACATGCTAAACTTAAGAAAACCTCTAGAAACAAATAATTGATCATTTTCCACACTGTTTCACTTTCAGATTCAACTTGCCCAAAAGAACCACACATTGAAGAGGACAATTTTTGAGGCAAAGGAATATACTAACTCTTATAACACCAGGCTTAAACAAAATAAGAGAAAAGGGAGGTGTTCTTATCACAGAAGATCAAAACCAGAGCTTCCCATACCCCTGAAGTGCTGTAAAAGGGTTCTAAATGTATAAAATAATTATCCCCTCAGCTCATGGGGACCTCCTCCCATGAGCAGCCTACTCTTCTTATATTCCATGATGCCTAAGAGATGATAATTTTCTACATGTGCTACGATGTGAAACGCCGAGAAGCACTTTGGTTTAGATCAAAACCAGTAGTTCCTGAATAAGTGCTAGAATGGTTGCATTAAGAACAATCTTGGGCCCAGGTGCAGTGGCTCATGCCTGTAATCCCAGCACTTTGGGAGACCAAGGCAGGTGGATCACCTGAAGTCAGGAGTTCCAAACCCGCCTTGCAAACATAGTGTAACCCCATCTCTACTAAAAATACAAAAATTAGCCAGGTGTGGTGCGCAGGCCTGTAGTCCCAGCTATTCGGGAGGCTGAGGCAGGAGAATTGCTTGAACCTGGGAAGCAGAGGTTGCAGTGAGCTGAGATCGAGCCACTGTACTCCAGCGTGGGCAACAGGGAGTCTCAAAAAAAAAGAATAATCTTAACTGGGTGCAGCGGCTCATGCCTGTAATCCCAGCACTTTGGGAAGGTGAGGTGGGTGGATTGCTTGAGCCCACAAATTTGAGACCAGCCTGAGCAACACAGTAGAAACTCCACCTCTATAAAAAAGGCAAAAAATTAGCCAGGCGTATTAGCGCACTCCTGTATTCCCAGACACCCGGGAGGCTGCGGTGGGAGGATCACCTGAGCCCGGGAGGTAGAGGCTGCAGCGAGCTGTGACTGCACTACTGCACTCTAGCCTGGGCAACAGAGTAAGACCCTGTCTTACACACACACAAAGAGAATGATCTGAGAAGTGTTAAAAATATGGATTCTTGAGTTCTACTTGTACACAAAATCTAATTCAGAAGATCTGCAGAGAAGCCTAGAAATGTGTATTTTAACCAAGTACACAGACAATTCCAATGAGCAATCAAATCTGAAAAACACAGGTCTAAATTATTCATATGAAGCCTAAAATATCATTATTCAATTTAGGGAAAATATTAAAATCAGTCAACAAAAGAGGCAAACCCAGTAATACAATTATAAAACAGAAGAAATTACTGTGATCTTTCGAGAAATGCAGGTTGCTTTTGCTGCCTATTCTTAATAGTAAAACTTTCCACATCTTTTACAGAAAAAATAAAATAAATACATTATCATGGTCACAAGTGGATCAGCTTGTTAGTATACAGATGAGATGTAGATTGGGAAGTCACCAGTACAGAAACTTATACTAAAAGGAGGACAAGAATGAAGGAAAATGAGTATGTGGCTTACTGAACAGATAAACAAATAGGAGGCTAGCCAAAAACTAGGCAGAATACAGGGAAAGCAAATCACAAACCAAAGAAAAGAGAGAGTGCTCAGCAAATCAATAGGTGGTTAATCAGCTTCTTAAAACTTTAGGTTTACCATATTCTGTGTTGAGGCCCCATAATTTCACTTTATTAGCTTCATACTGGGCTTTCTTCTTTAACCGACAAGCTCTGTGAAAGGAAGGAGCAGTTAGTTCACTTTCTTTTTCTTTTTTTAATTTTAATTTTATTATTTTTAATTATGGAGAAGGGGTCTTGCTATGTTGCCCAGGCTACTCTCCAACTCCTGGCTGCAAGTGACCCTCTCTTTTTGGCCTCCTAAAGTGCTGGGATTACAGGCATGAGGCACCATGCCCAGCCTGCTTTCTTTTTTAAGTGAATATTCATCTTTCATTTTCTAACAGCAATCCAAAACCGCTGCCTACTGATGTTTATCAAATGACTGAGTTACCAGAAAACACAACATAATCATTTATGCAAATTGATTTTTAAAAATTTAGCACACATTTAGAAATAAAGCTATGATCAGTAAACACCTATTAAAGTGACTATAAAACAAAAATAAAAACAAACAAAAACTGATAATACCAAAAGTTGTAGAGGATGTGATGCCAGTGGAACCCTCATGTGTTGCTAGTAGGAATGTAAAACAGTACATATAGCTACTTTGGAGAATAGTTTGGCAGTTTCTTATAAACATATATGCTTGGATATTTATCTAAGACAAATGCAAATATATTCACACAAACATCTGTAAGTGAATGTTGATGGTTTTATTCATAATTGCCAAAAACTGAAGGCAACCCAAATGCCCTTCAACTGGTGAATGGATGAACTGTAGTATATCTCCACCCAAAGGAATACAACTCAGCAACAAAAAGAAACAAATTATTACTCCAGGCAACAATATGGATGAATCTTAAATGCATCATGTTGAATGAAAGAATACAGATTCAGCTGGGCGTGGTGGTTCACGCCTGTAATCCCAGCACTTTGGGAGGCCAAGCCAGGCAAATCGCTTGAGCTCAGGAGTTTGAGACCAGCCTGGGCAACATGGTGAAACCCCATCTCTACAAAAAATACAAAAATTAGCTGGGCATGATGGGTCACATCTATAATCCCAGCTACTTAAGGGGCTGAGGTAGGAGGATCCCTTGAGTACTGGAGGCAGAGGTTGCAGTGAGCGGAGATCAGGCCACTGCCTAGGTGACAGAGTGAGACCCTGTCTCAAAAAAAAAGGAAGACAGGTTCAATCAAAGGCTACGTACATACAGTATATTCCATGTACATGACATTATGCAGAAGGCAAACTATGGAGACAGAAAACAGATAAGTGGTTTTGAGGGGCTATGGGTGCAGGAAGGGGTTTGCCTTTACAAAGAGACATAAGGCAACTTTTTAAGATGATGAAAATGTTCAATATCTTGATTGTGGTGGTGGTTATATGATTGGATATGTTTGTCAAAACTCATAAAAGTATACATTAAAAGGTATACATTTTACTGTAAGTTATAGCTCAATAACTCTGCCTTACTAAAAAAGCAAACACAAAATAAAGCTATGAAAAATTTTTTATTGTTATACTATAACATAATGCACCAGAGTCCATTCATCTCTCCCCTCTTAAAAACTTTTTCCATAAAACAAAAATACCATCTCCTACTTTCAAAAGAAAAATTATAATATTCTCATTGTAGTATTTATAAAAGAAAAATACAATTTCTGAATAATGGCTGAAGTGGTTGTCCTTCTATAAAAACTCACTTAGGGCCTAATCTCACCTCATAAACTTTCTTCACATGAGTGAACATTATTAGCATTTACCTGGAAGCCAGCTTATTTTTTTCCTTCCTTGACCTTGGCCGGGCTGTTAAGGGAAGCTCACTGACTGGAGTCAGGTCACTAATCACCTTATTCAGTTTCCGAAGTTCATTGCCTATCTGGAGGAGTTTTTTAGGATTTGGAGTCAGGTCTTCTACATCAGTTCTCCGTGACTTCTTTACTGCATATTTTCCTATAAACAGTTTAAAAGAAGTTTAAGTTATATCACTTTAATTAACAAGAGACACATTTTTCACAGCCACATTTTAAACCACTTCCCACCACTACCCTTTCTTTTCAGAAGTCTTGGCATGTAGCATGTTTAACAATCTATCCTAGAAGGGCTGGCCTCCTCTCCTTCCCATCTTGTGGCTGCAGGAAATGGGGGGTGATATGGCAGAGTTCTAACTTTTTCCAAGTTCTTCCCCACCCTAGGCTTATAGTCTCAGCATGACAGATTCTTCATTATTCGCATGGCATACTAAGCATCTCAAATCTCAGGATGAGTACGAGTTCAACTAAACACCAAAATCAGGACTAGGGTATAATACACAGTCAGAAGAGAGTTTGGAGATTTTACTCAAACCAAGATGTTTCTGATGCTATGTCTGAAAACTGTCAGACATACACATTTTTGTACTGAACTCGAAAATCCAACAAGTAAGCATAACCTTGTTTAAAAGCTCTTCTTTAGTTGCTTTGATAAATAACATTATAGAAGACTCAAGGAGTCTTGGTCTGTCACTCCAGGCAAAAGGGATGCCTCTGTCCTCCGAACTCCTTCAACTTTCCTAGTACTCATCATATGCTACTTGGGATACTGACTGGACTTAATGTTTCACTTCTGGTAGAAAACTTATCTGAAGGCAAATACTTGGTAATTATTTACTGAGCGACAATATAGTACACGTGGTTGCGAGTGGAAAGGAAAAATGAGGCACAAACATACATCAGATGGAATTCTTGTCCTCAAAAATCCTTAGCAACTCACATCTGTACGATGAGTGAATAACCTGTTTACTAACCATCACGCTTACTAGTAGTTCCCCTCCCCACTTTTTCCAGTAAAGAGTTGGTATTAATTTTTTTTTTAATTCAGAGCAGAAGAACTAGAAACTTTGGATTAATTTAAAAATAAAATTTGTACGGAATCACAATAAAAAATCTGTCCTACCTAAGACTGTCATTTTTTAAATTGTTTTAGAAATAGGATCTCCCTCTATCACCCAGGATGGAGCGCAGTGGCACAATCACAATTCATCGCAGACTCTAACTCCTGGACTCAAGTGATCTCCCGTCTCAGCCTCCCAAAGTGCTGGGATTACAGGCATGAGTCGCAGCATATGACCTGACCTACCTAAGCTTATAAACTTCTTTTGATTCCTACTACAGGTATTCAACTCTTCTCTACTACTCCTTTTCTCCATAACCATCCTCCCTTTCTTTTCTTTCCTTGTCCTTTTATCCCCACTACGATTTGAATTCCAGTCCCCCCATTTACATTTAGGTCTGGGGATTAGACAAGAATGTAAGAGAGCCCGTTCACTTTCTCCTCAACCCTTTCTGGTTATAGCAACTGACAGGTCAGAAATCAGCAGCCTCCTGGTCATTTCCTGGATGGGTAAGTAGATTAAGAAGAGACTAGAAATGAAATCATGTTTACATAGTCCTTCCTCCCTGCTTAGGTGAGAACTCTTAACACTGGTAAAAGCTATTTGTGAGTGATGAAAAGTAGTCATGCAAATGTAGCAGCTCTATAGTCCCCATCTCCAGTTTGCTAGGAAGGGTTGAATGTCTAGGTACATGGAGTAAGCAAAGCATTATCGATTAGTATCTCAACTTAATTAAAGTGACACTAAATATCTGACTGCAATCCCCTCTTACCATGATGTAAGCCATTTTTCTGATACATATTACTTGGTAAAGTATCTCGGTTCCACTCAGATGGTCTCAGCATCCTCTCTTGCTGTGATGGTGTAAGTTGTTCACTATACTCCCAGAAGTATCTTCTTTTACCTCTCTTCCGTGAAGATATTGAAGTCATCTCCTTCAGGTCTTCTACAGAATCATTTTCATAGCCTTAAAAAAAAAGGTCCCGCAATTTTTAAGCTCCATAAATTTCAATAAATCAATCAGAACAAACGAAAAGATCCCTTCTATTTGTAACTTGATACATTTCCTTGCATCTGAAAACATCACTGGCACGTCAAAGACAATAAAAACCAGGTCTATAAGAGAACTTATATTACGTAAATCTCTAACTCATAAAACATTCAGAGATTAATAAACATGGATAACTACACTGTTCATCTTCCTTGGGTTTCTCTTTAGTTTTTATAAGTTAGTATGCAATACTATTTTTATTATCTTCACACAGGATTAAGAGAACAATTACAGGATAGCCACAGGAATATCAAAAGTACTATCAGATAATGGTACTTAGATACATATACTATGATTTTTAAATATCTTCCTTCTAATATTTATGTATCTGAAACATCTCAGACAGAAAGCTATGTACATTTTTTAAATTATTTTTTCTTATTTTTTTCTTTTTCTAACTTTAAAAAAAATTTTTTGTAGGCTGGGGGCGGTGGCTCACACCTGTAATCCCAGTACTTTGGGAGGCTGAGATAGGTAGATCACTTGAGGTCAGGAGTTTGAGACCAACCTGGCCAGCATGGCAAAGCCCTGTCTCTACTAAAAATACAAAAATTAGCCAGGACATGGTGGGTGCACGCCTGCGATCCCAGCTACTCAGGACGCAGAGGCACAAGAATCACTCGAACCCAGGGGGCAGAGGATGTAACAAGCCGAGACTGTGCCACAGCACGCCAGTCTGGGCAACAGAATGAGACTCTGACTCTGTCTCCAAAAAAATATATTTTTTTTGCAGAGACAGAGGTCTCACTATGTTGCCCAGTCTGGTCTTAAACTCCTGGGTTCACAAGCGGTCCTCTGGCCTCAGTCTCTGAAAGTGCTGGGATTACAGGCATGAGCCACCAAGCCTAGCCCAGCTATATACATTTCTATGATAGTATTCTACTGGGCAGAATTCTATGAGGTAGCATTAGTTTTCTTCCTACCTCTCATCCTACTTCTTTTGGAAAGGTATAAAAGATGACAGTTCTCATACTGGCTATCACATAAAAAACTTACATGCCTATTCTAGTTAATATTTTATTGAAAGCTATTTGTATTAACTTCACTGTTTAAGAAGGGGGGATTTTCCTAAAAGGAAGTTTCAGAAAATACTTAAATTCTGAGTTGCTAGAACTGTTGGTCAGACCCAATATTGAATGACCTATAAATTTAAAATACCCTCAGAGAATGGCCACCTCTGATGTACTCTGGATCCTTAATGTTAGGTACATGAAGAAGAGGGATGAGCTATGCAAAGAATGTACACAATCCAAACCTAAAGTAACCAGGAAAACTTGGGCAGCACTGGCCATAAGTAAAATGGTCATTTTTCCTTCCTGAAAACATAAGAAGGTGATGACATGTTTGCTTGGAGGAACTAGGTTTTCTCCAGACAAAGAATGAATCAGAAGTATGCTTCCATTTATATACTACTCTGGAAAAGGCAAAATTATATGGACACAGTGGTTGGCAGGGATTGGCAGTGGAGGAAAGGGATGACAATAAAAGAATATAAAGTGCAGGGTGTGGTGGCTCACGCCTGTAGTCCCAGGACTTTGGGAGGCTGAGGTGGGCGGATCACCTGAGATCAGGAGTTCGAGACCAGCCTGGCCCACATGGCGAAACCTCATCTCTATTAAAAATACAAAAATTAGCCGGGCATGGTGGTGGGTGCCTGTAATCCCAGATACTCGGGAGGCTGAGGCAGGAGAATCACTTGAACCCAGGAGGTGGAGGCTGCAGTGAGCCAAGACTGTGCCATTGCACTACAGCCTGGACAACAAGAGCAAGACTCCATCTAAATAAAATAAAATAAAATAAAATAAAATAGGGAATTTTGGGGGGTGATCAAACTATTCTGTATCTTGATTGTGGTGGTGGTTATATGATTACATGATTTGTCAAAACTCATATAAGTGTACACTGTAAGGGGGTGAATTTTACTGTGTGAAAATTATGCCACAATAAACATGACTTTAAAAAAAAGAATCAATTTGGAAAGCAGAATGATTTCTGAGCAACAGTTAAGACAAGCTTTTGTAGCACTGCTGGTATTAACAGCATTTTATTAGTGCACATGTGGTAGTTTAAAACAAAACAGCAAGCAGTGTGACGGTGACCCTTAGGCTCTTCTTAAAAAATGACGCACAAGTTGAGTGACACAATCATTTCTAGAAGTCTAATTTTTTAAAACTGTGTTAGAATAAAGCAATGGCTTTGGCCTATTTATTTGTGCTTATGTTTCTTTTCAAATTATAGGATTTATTTTGTTCTAATTATCAACCCAATTTTGGAAAAAATGCAAGGGCCATCTTGTGTCAACAGAAATGGCCTTGAAAAAGGCCGTTGTGGCCCGGCGCAGTGGATCACGCCTGTAATCCCAGGACTTTGGGAGGCCGAGGCTGGCGGATCATGAGTTCAGGATATCGAGACCATCCTGGCTCACACAATGAAACTCCATCTCTACTAAAAATACAAAAAATAAAAAATAAATAAAAAGGCCCTTGTGGCCAGGCACGGTGGCTCACGCCTGTAATCCCAGCACTTTGGGAGGCCGAGGTGGGTGGATCACCTGAGGTCAGAAATTCAAGACCAGCCTGGCCAACATGGCGAAACCATCTCTACTAAAAATACAAAAATTAGCTGGACGTGGTGGTGCACACCTGTAATCCCAGCTACTCAGGAGGCTGAGGCAGGAGATGACTTGAACCCAGGAGGCGGAGTACAGTGAGATGGGTTCACACCACTGTACTCCAACCTGGGCAACAAGAGCAAGATTCTATCTCAATAAATAAATAAATAAATAAATAAATAGACCCTTGTTACACTAGGTAAGCAAAAATTACTGGCTCACATAGATTACCCTAGTTTGACTGCAAACACCTCAACACAGGCATATGCACCAACCAAAACACTCCCACCTTCCTATCAATGTCAGTAATTGGGTGTTCCACACTTAAGCCTATATACACACATATATATACATGCACACCATCCTCCTGGATACTTTACTTGATATACTCCCTTAGACAGTAACTACCTTTGCCTCTCTGCAGGCGCCTGCATCTCTGGCAAAAAACCGTCCCTGGTTAGGAAGAAGGTTATCAGCTCCATTTATATGAACTAAAATGCTCATGGAGGCTTGACATGATTTGGCACAGCTGGGACTGTCAGGCCACAACTCAAGGTGTCTTGCTCCAAGTGGGCTTCCCACTTTTCTTGTGCCTAATTAAATGATCTGAATAGATTTTTTCCTGCATATATTTCATGTTAAGTTTAAATAATCATGAAGTGGTTTTATTTCTTCTGTCCCATCCAAATTAGTTACCAGTTTTATTACCTATAGGTGTTCAGCCTTTTTCCCAGAAGTATTTAAAAGCCATCAGTTTTCTTTGACTTAATATAGTAACGTTTTCTAATAGCATACACCATAAATTCACCATAACACACACACACACACACACACACACACACACACACACACACACACACACACACACACTCTCCCTCTCTCTCTCTGTCTGTCTCTCTCTCTCTCTGAATTTGTTGCCTAAAGCCATCCACCTTTCTTGGGATGGTGTTGCTGTCATCCAGGCTGGAATGCAGCAGCGTGATCACAACTCACTGCAGCTTTGACCTCCTGGGCTCAAGCAATCCTCCCACCTCAACCTCCAGAGTAGCTAGGGCTACAGGCACACACCACTACATTGGGCTAATTTTTGTATTTTTTGTAGAGACAGGAGTCTCCCTATGTTACCCAAGGTGGTCTCGAAGTCGAGCTCAAGAAATCTTCCCACTTTGGCCTCCCAAAGTGCTGAGATTACAGGCATGAATTACCATGCCCAGTCACCATCCACCTTTCAATACAGAGACTACCAATGATCAAATAGAATGAAAACAATTATACCCCAAGATCACTGGTCTTGAATTTAGGGTCATTAAATATTTCTCAAACTAGGTTCCAAAGAACACTATTACCATAAGATATGGTTTTATCCAAAGTGAATTATGTAGTCAGCTAAGTTTAAAAATCTGTCATCCTGCATATCTCTCTTGCCAAATCAAAGTACACATAGACATGTTAAAAGACTCTAAGAAATCATAACAGTAAATAAACCCATTTAACACTAAGTTCCATGAAGATAAAGATGTCTACTTTTTTCATCTCTGTATAGCCAATACCTAATATACACAGTGCCCACCACAAAAGTAGGCACTCAAAAAATTTTAAAACAAATCAATGATTTTGTTTAATGCAACATTTCCCATTAGGGCCTTTCCCTTCTCTTTTCACGTGACAGATCATCATACTGACCTAACTCATTCCTATCTGACATGATTACCAAAAAAAGTAAAAGTAACAAATACCACATTTACTGCCTAAAATTTCAATCACACATCTCTGGTTAGTACAGACTGTCAATAAGCTGGTAAAATCAACTGTGAAAATGTTTAGTGAAAATTACAAAATAAATTATCATTCTAGGAGCCCAATTCTTAGCCTTACAACCATGTAATTTCATGACCCCAAACAGTTGTAGCCTGTCCACAGAAAAGGCTCTATTAAAATTTGGGAGCCAATCCAGGAAAGAGACTAAAACTCCATTTTGCACCTTTCCTAAAACTTTGTAGGCTCATGAACTGTTGTAGCCAAGTGCCAAGAAATAGCATCAAGGGAGCTAGTCCTCACAAAAGGGCCTTTGTAAACTGTCAGCTATAAATTAAACCAATCAATCCACCCTAAACTAGGACTGAAGAAACTATAGCTATCCTTACTCTTTTGCTACGAAGAATTTCTTCCTGTTCCTCACCGGTACCTCACTTTTGCATCTTTAAAGTCAGCTGCTTAGCTCTTCTAGGAAAAGGAGAAAATTTTACTAGCAAATGTGAATAAAGTCCAAATAGTACCACAAAATTAACACAATTTTGTGGTGAAA